GACAGGAGGGAGCAGGCGGGCTCGTCGACATGGCCATCATGCATCGCAGAATAGGAAGCTTTTGGACTGGCTCCATGCTCTTTTCTTTCGAGAGCACACGAGCTTCTGGTCCGAAACATGGCGACTCGTAAAAATAGTTCCAACGAGATCATCCATGCTCTGACGAGTTAATCTGGGGATTCAAAGCGTAACTTGTGTTAGAACTTTAAATTAAATTGAATAAGATATTGATCCAGTTAGCTTGTTCAATTCAGATTTAATTGACTTAGCGGAATCTAATTTAGAGCTAATTGAATTAACAGTTAAAACAGCATATTATTGTTTTAATAAAAATATTTAATTGGGGCTCATTCAATGATAATAGTTCCAACGAGATCATCCATGCTCTGTCAGGGGATTAGGATCACTTGTTCTCTCAGAGGCCCTCTACTCATATAATATGACTTCCAGGGCCATTATTAACGAAATTATTTATTTATTCATGGCTGCCTTTATTTTGCTTTTCGAGAGAATTATTAAACTCAGGTGTAGCCCGGGTTATCCTAACTTGTTTCAATTAAAATCATATTATTTTAATTTAAAAAATTAATTTTAAAGGAGAAAAAAGGTTAAAAAGTCATACCGAATTTAGCAAAGAATCATTCAAGTGTCAAATCAATATAAAATGGTCTGAATGTAATAATTATGACTAAGAATACATTAAGATTACCATGAGATCACTTCTGGTTTATTAAGATATTGAAAATGACACATGATCCATACAATGTTCTTTGTCGGTAATAAAAAAATTAAAATTAATAGTAAGATAAATAACGTTCTTTTCTAGCTTTGATACTCTAACTGGAATAATATTAAATATAAACCTTTTCAGTCACTAGTTTCGTGGAGAATCGAACATAAAGGGTTTTTTTTCGACTCATGTAATATGACTTCCAGGGCCTTAATTAACGAAATTATTTATATATTCATGGGTGCCTTTATTTTGCTTTTCGAAAGAATTATTAAACTCAAGTGTAGCCCGGGTTATACTAACTTGTTTCAATTAAAATCATATTATTTTAATTTAAAAAAATAATTTTAATGGAGAAAAAAGGTTTAAAAGTCATACCGAATTTAGCAAAGAATCATTCAAGTGTCAAATCAATATAAAATGGTCTGAATGTAATAATTATGACTAAGAATACATTAAGATTACCATGAGATCACTTCTGGTTTATTAAGATATTGAAAATGACACATGATCCATACAATGTTCTTTGTCGGTAATAAAAAAATTAAAATTAATAGTAAGATAAATAACGTTCCTTTCTAGCTTTGATACTCTAACTGGAATAATATTAAATATAAACCTTTTCAGTCACTAGTTTCGTGGAGAATCGAACATAAAGGGTTTTTTTTTTAACTATGGACAATGTAATAATTCTGATTTTATGTTTTAAAGATATTTAAAAAAACTGAAAAATATTTTATTTTCTTTAAATTTAATTTCTTATGTTTTCATATTATTTTGACATGTTAATATTAAAAATATTTTTTAAAAATTTAAAAATAAAAAAATATTTTAAAAAATAATTACAATTACAGTAACAAAAAAAAGAACTCTTAATAAAATTTTATTGCATTTTATTTATTTTCATCTTAATATTTATTTATTAGATTGATGGATTTAATAATACACTTTTCTTCCCTTGTATTTATAGGATCTAAAACTTAAACCACTCGTATTTCACACCTTACTAATTGAAATTATTTATAATTGTATTTAATATAGTTACATTTTATTTGTAATAATTTTATTTATTCAACCTGGTTCAAAAATTATATCAAAAGGAATTTAAATTATTAGATTAGCTTATAAATCATGAAATCAATTATTTTTATTAAAATAACAACACTTCATATTTTTCTCTTGTTTCTTGTTAATTTGACAAGGTTTAATTAGATATGAACATTAAAAAAGTAGTCAAATTAATTAATTTTTACTGGATTAATATTCTATACAATCTTATCAAAACATCAAGTATAAATCAAGTCTCAAATCTTGAATTCTATAAATTAATTTGTCAAATCAATCATTATATTATATATTTATATATTCAAGCTATAAGCCTGGTTCTAGAAAACATTAAACTATATTATCGTATATATTTATATATTCAAGCTATAAGCCCGTTGTGACAAACGACTACATGGTTCTAGAAAACACTCGTGGAGTGATTTCAAATATTCTTCTTCTTTTTCCGGGATTTATTTAAAAATTACTACCATTAAAGTGACTTTAAAGATTATTAATTAATACCGAGGCTTGAACGAGGAGCTGCAGTTAATTTAAAAACTTGAATGTGAACGGGCCAACCATCTTGATGGTCAAGATCTTCTCGAAGGTCAAGGCGAGCTGTATCGGTACGGTCTAATCCAAAATCTTCTAGAAAAGAGGTGGTCTTGTCCACCTCGATGATTACGACGGCTACGAGGTATTATGACGTCAGACCGGTGACAGGGTCAACAGCTTACAGCATCCTTGCCTGATCATTTGGTTCACGTAATGCCACGCTCTCTGTACCCGGAACACACCAGATGCCACGTGGCATGCATATTTTAAACTTTTCAATTTACAACTGTAAATTCTCTCAAATCTAACAATAAAAATATCTAAATTAGTTTTTTCAATCTTGTTTGATAATTTACCTGTATTTCGTTTAATTGACGGTTTCCCTCTTTTTTTTTTCTTGTTTGCATTTCACCATTAATTTTATGTTTTATTATTTTTTTATATTTCACAATAAAAATTAAATTAATTAAAATTATTTGAATATAAAAATATATTGAAATTCTGAAATTTTAAAAAATATATTTGAAAATGGAGGTAACACTGTGAGCAACAATGAGAATATATTTCTAGGTTAAAATAATTGTTTAAGATGATATTAGATTTTCAATAATTAAATAATTACAAGTTTAAATTTTATTATTATTATTTAATTAATAAAAATTAAATATAAAATATTGTGAGTTTGTATAAATTTGAAGTATAAAGTTTTTTTATTTAAAAAAATATATTAAAAAATAATATAGATTATATATTAAAATCTTATTTATCAACTTAAAATTTTAAATTAGAATAATATTTTAACACCAAGATATAAATTTTCGATGCCAGAGCATTATTTATGTATCCACGTTAACATATTACCCCGAGACCTTATCAGGATGATGCACCGATCAGCATTAACAATTTTTTTAAAAAAAAACAATAACATGAAATAAATTTAAGGTAGTATGTCTATTGACAGAAACCTCTTGTCGTGTCTATTTTCTAGAGGCAACGTGTGGGAAACCAGGACCAAGACAACGACCTTTTCCATCTTTTTTTTTTTTGTTTTTTTTTTTATCGTTTCGTCTTCTTGCCACTTTAGTAAAAAAACTGATCATTTTTTAAAAGCAACGTCACATAAATAAGTTATCGTCTTTTTTTTCTTGCATTTGTTCCTTGATTATCTGTTTATGAGGAGAGTTGATTTTGAATTTATAATAATTTTTTTATTTAATGATAAGCGTCACGCTTCCATATATCAATTTTTTCTTACATTATAAAAGTGACTTCACAAAGTATGCCAACGTTCACAACATATTGGATTGTATATTTATTCTTACACGAGTGATATTGCAAGTCTTGATTCTTTTTCCAAGTAAGCCAACATATTATATATCTTAAATTATCTATATTATATTATAAAGTATTTTGGACCTCCATTAATAGTTTAAGTTATTAAATTAAATTGATTTTTTTATATAATACTAGAGTATTGATGATCAAACGATCGTAAGTTTGAATCTTATCATTTTTATTTATTTGATAAAAATTAAATATAAAATAATATGGATATATATATATATATTTTACGTCCAAAATACTTTTATTATATTATAGAATAATATAAGTTATATCTTAAGATCTCATTTAATGACTTAAGTTTTTTAGTTAAATTGGTTCTTTCACAAAATACTTATATTCTTTTTAATAAATTGTTTTCGCAAAGAAATTAAAATTTACACTTTTTAAAGTGATTCAAATAAAATTTTTTTAAATTTAAAACTTACATAAATACATATAATTTTTTACTTAATTTTTCATCACATAAAATAAAAATAATAAAACCTAAACTTGTAATTAATTTGCTATCAAAACTCTGATAAAAAATTAATTTAACTAAAAACTTAAACATGCGCTTCCATGAATACTTTTTTTAAAATACAAGTGTATTTTTTTTTTAAATAGATCAATTAACCAACAAATTGCAAAAGACGAGACTTAAAATATGAACAAATTTTGGTTTCAAATCCCATGTTTTTTAATTGTTTATAAAATTATCATTTCTCATGGTCAGTCAAGTGCGGCACACCAGCTTAAAAAATAAAATAGGTCACAAAACCTATCGTGGCCGGCCCTCAACCATGGAGGCAAGGCATCTATTAATACCTCACTATTTATTAAAAAATAAAAATAAATTTGAATGCTCAATTGGGTGGAGCCCTAGCAAAGCCATCTCGGGTTCCTTAATTCAGCTGGTTTTCCAATAACTGGCATGTCTAGTTTAATAATAATAAATTAAAAAACAATCCCAATTACAGAGACTGACACAAAACAAAACACATACTAATCTCCAAAATCTTCAGCTAGCCAGTCAGGTCAAACAAAATTAAATAATTGAATCCACTAGCCATGACCTTCATAGCCGTCATAACAGTTAAAAACGCTTACGCAATGTTAACATTTCATCTCCAACCCAAGTACATCATTGATCTGGGATATATATTTTTTCTCTCCTTTTTCTTTTCTTGCAGCCCATAAATGAACTTCGAGTAGTGCTCTACTTATATAGGTAGTTTGCATCATGTCTGAATTCATAAACTGTAATGAATATATACGGAACTAGCTAATCTCAAATTATAATTAATGGAGAATTTACATAGACATAAAGCATATGATGATACAAGAGCTAGCACTCAAAGAAAGAACTCATACCTAAAAAAAAAAAAAGGTTCATCAGTTAAGCTCAGCCAACCATGAACTAATTAATTAAGCACATCTAACTGAAAGGATTCATGAAAAAGGCTCGATTGAAGCATGCCCATGAAAGTACTCTCTTCCATAGATGAGAAAAGTTCTCGGTCAAATGACTCGAGAAAAGACTCCGAGCTTGTTGTTGATGGTGATTGATTCGAATTTGTCGAAGGAACTGCCGATACACGATGATCATATTCAGCCCTTTGGTGAGAAATCTCATCAGCACCATTAATGTCCATAAATCGTGCAGCATCGGAGTCTTTGCCGGTAAGTTCTTGCACAAGAGCTCTGAACTCCGAGGCACTAGTCTTCACTTTCATAGGGCTGGATATATACACGACCTTGATCGCTTTTTTACTTCTCTTCGCATATGATCTCTTGCCACTCTTCATGTTAACTCCAAGTACATCCATGGCCTAGAAATTAAAGGGTTTGTGTACGTGTGTGTTAGCTAAGATTGTTCTGTGAAATCAAAACATCTTGGCAAGGTTTATATAAGGTACGGAAGTAGAAGATGTTGGGCACGAGAGGGTGGTTTCCTGGAAGGTGATTTGTCTTGGAAAACAAGGAGAAGGAAGGGAAGAAAATGATATAAATTGATTGCGCAAGAGGAAGAGCACCAAGGGAAAGCAAGGTGTTTAAATAATTAAATGCAAGGAAATCTTGCCTTGTTAGATGGCCCGCAATTATCTCATATGCATGTAAGGGAGGTAATTTCCTAGAAGGTGATAAGATTAGAGAGAGACAAGGCAGGAAAACAAATTAATTAAGTACTAGGGTCGGTTGGTGGTGTGCAATGGAGGTTGGAAATCGGAAGAAACAAAACCCTAAAGGTCAACAGAAGATTCTATAAAGGTGCTTGGATGACCCGTAATTTCATAGGTGTTTTGTGAGATCTAAGCTCGGGAAGTTTATGTTCATTGTAACCAGAAGAGGAAATGGATCGATATAACGCATGTGCGCCGCCTCATGTGACTAAGGAAAAACTATGATTTTGGAATTCACGACTCAGGACTTGGCTCGAGATCACTGACGAAGACATCTGGGGACCCATGTAAAGATCTTAGAAATTTAGGATCTTAACATCTCGTGGAGGAGGCTAAGTATTTCGTCGTATGTTAATTTCGACCTGTCTAGCATACATTAGATTAAACAATATAGTATTCACATTAAAAAAAGGGTAAATATTCAGTTAATCAAATGTTGTCCCTATCACCATCTATCTCAACTTCTGCTCGTGGCAAGACTATTTTGTTTTGTCCAGGAGGATATAATTAACGTTAAATTTGCGTGTTCGTCATTTTATGAATAAGAACTGCAATTAACCTTAACGTAGTCTTATTCCTTGCTGTCTGCTTGATGTGTTAAATATAACTGGGTTGTCCTAGCTAAAATATATTAAATAATTTTGGTAGCATTTCATTACTATGACGTAGAAAAGATGGAGATAACAAGAAGGATATGAGATATATATATTTCTTGTTTTTTTTTTTAAAAAAGAAGTTAAAATGATAAAAATTTACTCTAAAATTAGTTTAAAAACAAGTTTTTTATATATATTTTTATCTTTATACTTTCAATAAAATGTATCCCATCATTTTTATCTTAAAACATTAATCAAACATAATCTAACTTAAGTTTAATTATTGAAAAAAAAAGCTAAAAAATAAGTTAGAGTTATTGATATGCAACACACACTATGTATATTATAACAAAACATCGCTTAGAATTTGTTTGGGAATTTGATAACTTTTGTTTTTAAGTATTTTTTAAAAGTATAAATGTTTTGAAAAAAATATTAAATTGATATTTTTTAGTGTTTTTTAATAATTTAATATGTTAATGTTAAAAATAAAAATAAAAATATTTAAAAATAATTTTAAACAATACTTTTAAAAAATATCATTCACCATAATACTGAGTATATTGAACATGCCATTGATCAAAACAGTATGATTTATTATTAGATAAACAACATTTATAATTTTTTTAAAGAATCTTTGGCTACCAATTTGTTTAACTTTTCACGATTGTTTTTAGGAGAAAACATGCTCAATAATCAGGATTAATGTAGACGAATTCTTAATTATTTATCTATCACAGAACCATTTCAAGGAAATTATTAAAACCAAAGGCGAGAAATTAGATATATTATAATGGAGTTTTTTATATATATAAAATAATGGTCGTATTGTTTGGGTGTGAAAAAAACTGATCGTTAATTTTGTAACAGTTTTATTTATTTGATTGTCAATAAATAATTTGAAAGACAATTAGGATCAAGTTTTTATCTAAAACAATCATTAATTAGGTTAACTTAACATTTTCTACTAATTTAAAATTGGACCTCAGTTAGTTTTAGTTTAAAACTATATTTTTTTACAATAATGTTATTTTATTTTAAAAAATACCCTCTAAATTGATGTGATTTAAAAGTTTTTTTAAAAAATTATAATTTGAATTAACTCGTGGGTTAATCTAGGCTGGAATCTTAAACCAAGTGAATTCCAAGTTATATCTTATGACAACGCAAATAATATTAAAAGCACATCTTTTATATTAACACAAACCATTCTCCAGAATTTAATGCATCTTTCTCAGTGTGGGGCTCTGGAAGCCAACTCTATATATCTATATAAGCGGGCTTCGCCTTAAGATTAGAATTTGGGCTGGGCTTTGACAACACACAATCTGTTTGGGCTTCTTATTAAACCTAACCGAATTTAGTTTATGTGAACCCGTGTTGTAAAAGGTGAACTCACTACCTTCATTAACGATTTTTGTGTATTTTTTAACGTGGTTGAAATTATTTTTTAAAATATTTTTTTGATAATTTTAATATTAAAAATTAAAATATTTAAAAAAATTATAAAAAGTTATTTTGAAAAATTACTATACAGTACATTATCAAACACTTGTGTTGTTATTTTCAGAACCCCATTTTAATCATCCTGGAGATGTACTTGAGGTGATTCTCCTGCAGGCCTAATTGTTGAAGATTGCTTGAGAACTTAGTCTTACCTGTAATTTTTATGACCTTTTCTGTCATGTATATAGAAATAGATGGAAGTATAGTTGCTCCCGAAAGCTAGTTAATTAATTCCTGTGGTAAGAAAAATTGGATGGAAGATTTCCCTATTATGATTCATGTCTCTTGTAACGAGGGATTATCCTAAATTGCTTAAAGATTATGGGGATAACACTGAGATATTGTAAACTATGAAGGTAGAAATAGAACAATGAAGAACTCATAAGGACACAAATGCAGTTTAACCTAAACAAGCCGAAGAACATCAGGATTCTAGTTTTGAAAGACAAAACCGTAGTTCCTTTAGATTCAGATTCAGGTTGGTTAAGGTATTCCTCGATGGTGCTGTTTTTCCAATTTCCAGTGGTTTTTTGTTCATGTGAATGTTCCAAATGTGAGAACACAAAAGCTTATCATGTAAATTGTATTGCATTTTGCTACTGTTCCAAAACAAAATAAGCATAAAAAATATGTTTCGTTTAATAAAAAAACAAAAACATAAAATAAATATATTTCTAAAATAGTTTTGAAATGAATTTATGGCCTTGTCTAAAGCTATTAGCATACAACAACGATTTATACAGTGAAAAATTGTGTTCAAAGCAAGACAATGCCCATCTCGGGTATAGATGTGGTCCTAGCTGGTATCTTGTACAAGTCTTGCTTCAAATCTCGACTTCATTCCCCATGACATGGGATTTTTCTGGTTTTTTTTAGGGTTTCCTATCATTGTATAATTACACTTTTCTGAGGAAAAAGACGAGAAATAAATTCCTCAATTTTGTCCGTCATTCTTTGTTCAGGCTAAGGCTTAGCCTATCTCCGAGTTTCCACCTTAATGGGTTTGCTTCCTGTATCGATTCTTTGATTGCATTTTGCTCTACAGTCTGGTGTCGAAGAGCTTGGTATCAAGTTTAAATTTTCAAGTCGTTATTTTCATATTGATGATTCATCGCAAGCCTTCTTCTCTGCCAAAACCTTTACCCTCTAGAGGTTAAGGATATCGGATCACCTTGTCAAGCTGCACATGTCTTGTGACACCATAATCTATTCTCGAGGCCAGTTGAAGTTGATGAAAATGTTAGCCAGAATCTCATCTTTTGCTGCCCTTTCATTGAGAAATTTTCTGTACTATATTGCGAGGGCCTCGAAAATCTTGAAATTTCTGGAGGCCATCATCGACACTCTCCAGACTTACACGCCTTCAAATACGATGCCCACGTCGAGGTTAGTGAAAGCTACTTGACAATTGCATAAACCAAATGAGATCGAGGGAAGCTTTTTCCTCGAACTAGGAGAAACGATGGCAGTGAGTTCAGATATTATAACTCCAGGACATAAAATGGACTGCATGGGTTTCAACAAGATCCTGGCAACTGTGCTGTCAATGCCTAACCTGGGTAAGGCCCATTTATTGATATATCGAGCTTGGTAGACAGAAAGCGAAAATGCAACGGCTCATCCAATTCTAACATTGACCGGCTTGCTTTCCAAGAAAAAAAATGTTACAAAAACGACACTACAAAGCTTGTTTTACATTTTTTTTTTTTTAAATGGATAGCCAATAACAATTGGTAGCAGTCTTATTAAACTATGATTAATCTAGCAAGTGAATCTAGTGATTCGATTGACCTCACAAGACACGATTTAACTTATTATAGAATCAAAACCTAAGTGGGGCATGATTTGAATTTTTTTAAATTAAAAATTAATATTGTTTTAATTTATTTTTTAAAATTTTACAATAATATCTTTTTAAATTAATACGCGAGTCATGGAACTATCAAAATTTTATGACTATTATTCACAGCTCTGTGATGTTTCCAAAAATTCAAAGTCTAGTAACCTGAAAATAGAGAAAAAAGAATGTTTTTAATGTTTACGGTACAATGAATAGCTACATTAGTCTAAGGACCTGTTTAATTTAGCATTTATAAAAAATTAAAAAAAAATCAAATTAACTTTTTAGTATTTTTAAATTATTTTAATATGTTGATATTAAAATTAATTTTTTGAATAAAAAATATATTATTTTGATGTATTTCTAAGTAAAAGATATTTAGTGTTTTTGAAAAAAATTGAAATTTTTTTAATTTTTTATTTTCCATAAATTAATGTTTTTTTTTATGTTTTTATATTTTTATAATGAACTAATATTAAAAATATTTTTTAAAAATTAAATTAAATTACCTTGATATAAAAATATTTTAAAAAATAAATGGTGAAGCACTCTCAACAATTCTCAAACACCCCTTAATTATAACCATAACCTCGCAAGGCTAACTATGATTCCTCACATGGCATATGAGTAATCGAGCATGCCAGTCTTGCTGTCATAGAGTTTTTATGTCACCAATAATTAAACCATACCAGGACGAATAGCCA